TTTTTTGTTTTAATATGTATTACATATATATAATATATGTAAATTAATCTACTATTTTTATTATCTACATTCTGTATACATTATTTTTCCACCACTGTCCTTTGATTATTTTGAGTGCAAATTATGTAATGTATTTTGAAAACTGTATAATAATAATATAATGTTCAGGGTTGAATATTAATAAATTTATTATTTATAACAATTTAATTTTACTATTCAATCTCCTTCAGGAAACCTTCCAACCACATCTTAATATATTCATTCCTCAATGTGTTGACGAGGTTAAGGCTGGTTTAGACCTTCCCTCAACCTCCAATCATTTTGAAAAATATTTCAAGCCCAGMGAAATTAAATAGGCTATCCAAAAATACTCTTTAAAAAAAAATCGTCGGGCTATGACCTAATAATGACAGAAGTAGCTAGATGCCTACCCAAAAAAGCAATAGTATTGGTATCATATATTTAATGCAAAGACTCGTACTTCCCAATCCTTTGGAAATTCTCAAAAATTGTACTATTTCCTAAACCTGATAAACAAAAAAAATTTATATAAATAATTCATGCTAAATGTTGCCACTTGACGGCTTATTATTCAATTTATCACATCCTGTCTTCTCTTAACACATTATTAMATAAACATGAAGATAAGTTGTGTGARTAACTAATACAAATAGTTATTTATTATAATCTACTATTTAGGTATACAGGATATTTTTTTAACTAAATACACTCAATATTTTAGTAATTATTTGTTTACATAATTTTAAGTGAATTAATCAATGTCTATTTTTTCTAAATATTTTTTATTTTTACCTAGATTTTTRATTCCATAGTTAGAAGAATATTTTTTTGAGTATTTCCACGCATAAAAATTGAATTTAATGAGGTTAATAGTTACAACTTATAAGTATTTACAAGTTACAGGTTAGCTRAGTGTCATAGTCATAAGATTAAAATGCATAGCTCATTTAAACTTTAAACATTATTAAGTTATAAATACACTTACACTCATATTATATATAACTATAATTTACTCAATTATACCAATGTAAAAAATATATGTATCTAGTATAATTGAATCCATTGTTAAAAAATAATTACTTGTAATAGCACCCCATGTGTGCTGAAACATTTTATGATTATAATAAATGAAWAAAAAAAAAACTTATTAACAACTAGGCCAGAATTCTATTTGTATCCATCAAAATGTTACTATTTTTCGAATTCCGGTTTTACTCAAAAATCGTACCAAGTCGGTTTAGAATTTACCGCCAGTATATCAAACACATATAACTTTTTCTGTTAAAATGAAAAATTRATAACAAAATGTAGCTGAGTAATAAAAATATGTAGTTTTATTGCACAATTTTATAAACAATGTATTTTTAATGAATGAGTGTTTTATCATTTTGAATTAATTATGCCAAAAAAATGAAAAAGATTAGGTACAACGCAAATCGCAAAATGAATAAATTATAATTTTAATGGAAAAAAATCATCAGACAATACGAGGCGATTTGGGGGTGGGGATGACATGATGGTGCAGAATGAGTGGTTGCAGCTGATGTTGGTAAGTTTAGCCACTGGTCACCTCTATACATTCTAATCTAACATTCTCACGGACAGTCGTGCAGGGCAAACGAGGGTCACGAGCATGTCTGCTTGGCACGCGAAGATGACCATGGCAGCAGGCGAAGGCCGACCACAACGAGATGGACGAACAGTTAATGCGCGATGTCTTGCGTTTGACGGTACTACAGGTACTGAAAACTACTGTTGTGTCGGTGACGTAGGTTACATGAGCTCGGAGCGAGCGGCGAAGTCACGAAAACTATAATATGGATAGGTATTGTAGAACTCACGGTGACCTGACGCGTCGTGACTTGACCAAAGATTTTAGATAGCTGGCCGAAAAGGGGAGAACATCGGCATACAGGCATACAGCATCCCAACACGTCGCCGTCCAGAGTGCAGAGGTTAGGCTCGTTACGTTTCTTTTTTTCAAGCCCGACGCCGTCGACGTCCGTGTTCCTATAACTACCCTATTATTATTGTCATCCATAACTCACCACGAGCTTTGCGGGTCCGTCGCCGCTGCAACGAGTCGTTAAGGGGGGAGGGGGTAACCTTTTTTTTCCTGTTCAAAAACCAGGAACGGATGGKAACTGTTCAGCACAATACTGCCACCCGTCCCTGTATTGTTTATTCACCAAATATAAGACAATCAATCTATACAAAAATTGGGGGCCTCTAACCACCTAAACACAAAAAACAAAAAAAAAGCTGGCCTTCGGTCCATAGAAAACAACATTTCTTATACTGCCCGTCCACCTCTCGTCTGCCTGACGCGCTCTGCAGCCTCCTTCTGCCCAAGTATCATCTCCACCATCCTGTCAAATGCAAGCCTCTGCTTCTCTGCCGACTCCATAATCCAC